CATGTGCTTGTGAGTGCACTGCCTGCAGAGGCCGGACATTCCCTTGGTGCTGGAGGAACTGGCAGTTGTGATGCTTTGACATGGGTGCTGGGACCTGATCCCTGGTCCTCGGCAAGGACATTATGAACCTTAATTGCTGAGCCATCTCCCCAGCCCTTACCTAGCAATTTAGAAGGCACAGAAGGGGATAAACAGACAAGTAAACTAATCTTTTGTTTGTTTTGTTCATCTCTCTCTTTTTTTTTTTTTTGTTTTTCGAGACAGGGTTTCTCTGTGTAGCTTTGGAACTTATCCTGGCACTCACTCTGGAGACCAGGCTGGCCTCGAACTCACAGAGATCCACCTGCCTCTGCTTCTGCCTCCCAAGTGCTGGGATTAAAGGCGTGCGCCACCAACACCTGGCGACTATTTTGTTCATCTCTTATGTAGCCCTCCTCAGAGAATCCATTGTTTTCCTTTTGGGTGCTAACCAATCTGAGTATTTAAGTCTTTGTCTCTTAAGCAAAACTTTTACTGTGAAAGTTACATGAGATTTATTAGAAAAAGTCTTGCATTTAGGCAAGAAAGGGAATTTTAAAACATCTATATTGGAATGTAAGAGGTGAAACATCTCTGCTTGCAGATATGATGCCAAGCACAGAACCAAGAGGAGCAAAAATAGACAAATGGGGCTGCACAAAATCCAAATCTTTGTACATCAAAGGTCACAAGCACCAGAGTGGAAGATCATCCTGTAGAATGGGAGAAAATGTTTCTGGATCCTACATTTGATTAGGATTAGCATCCATTGTATGTAGGATATATATTATAACATAGAATATAAGGAACTTTTATAACTCAACAGAGGAAGCCTGGCTAAAAAATAGATAAAGTGGATTGACTGCTCAGATGGGATGGTAAGAGGGTTCAGCTCCTGAAAGGGCTTGCTGCAAAGCCTGATGATCTGAATTTGGTTCCCAGAACCCATGTGAAGAAGCTGGATTCGGCAGTGTGTGTCTGCATTCTGAGCATTCTTATGGTGAGATGAGGGTAGAGACAGAAGAGTCGCCTAGAAGCTCCTGGGCCAGCTAGCCTTGAGTTTGGCAGAAACAAAGAGAGACCCTGCCTCAAAACAAGGTGGAAAGAGAAAACTAACTCCTGAAATTTGTTGTCTGACCTCCATACATGTGCCATAGCACTTCTGTATCTCCTCCCCATGTACAATATTAATAAAAAATAAAGGATTTGGCATTTCTTCAGATATGTAACTGGCCATGAAACATGCGAAAAGATGCTCAAAGTCACTCATCCTCAATGCAATGGAAGTGAAATCTCCAGTGAGTTATTGCTGCACACCAATTATTTCTGTCCAAAAAAAAAAAAAAAAGTACTCACGAAGATGTGGAAAAATTGTAAGTTTTGTGCACTATTACAGGTAGGCTGTAAAAAAATGTATTACTGCTATAGAAAGTAGTTTAGAGTTTCCTCCAAAAAAAAAAAAAATCATTGCATTTTGCAGAAGATCCATACCAGGGATGTTTCCCAAAGAATTAAAGCAGAGCTTTGAAGAGAGAATTCCTACACTCATGCTCATAGTAGCGTTTCCCACCGCAGCTAGGACAAAAGCTGAGCAAATATTTTTCATCCCAAATGTATTGGTCAGGGTGGTAGCACTCCCCTAGCCTGTGATGAGGCCTTAGACTCAAACACATCTCAGCACCACAGAATAAACAGACAGTTAAAAAATAAGTAAAATTTAAGGAGAAACACATACAGTAGAACCCTTTTTAGTTTTACAAAGAAAGGGAAGCTCGCTTATGCTATCACTTGGATGAACCTTGAGACAGTTACTAGATAAGTAAGTCACAGTACAGCAACTGTTCACAATTCCACCTCCACCAACAGAGCCATAGAAACAAAATAGAGTTTGCAGGAGGTGGAGGGAGGGACAAAGGGAATTAATTGCTCAGGGGCAAGAGGAAAACATTCTTGTACTGAACTATGCATTTAAAGGTGGTTAATTATTTTTTTAACTACAATAAAAGCATGAGTGAGGTTATAGTCTTATATTTATGAGCCATTATTTTTTTCTAAATAATACATGTAAATAAATACCTTTGAAACATGTATAGAATAACTTTAGAAGTTATGAAGAATGTTGCACAAGTGATATGTGCACTCTCCTGAACACTTATGTGTTTTCTGAAGGCTTTCTGAAGATGATGACGTTTATTGGCTGTGCCTCATCACACATGTCCTTAGTGCTGGCATTTGCTGGCTATGGCTCATGCACGTTTCTTTTTCTTCTTTGTTAATGTTTCATAACTTCACTGAAAGGTATGAAGTGGAAAGACACTTCAGGGTAGATATCATATTGAGATTGTCCTAACAGAATCCAGGGGATTCCTTTTCATCATGGTGAAGCTTCTTTGTGTGTGTGTGTGTGTGTGTATATTGGGGCTGGGGGATTAACATGCACATTCCTTTATGTGTGTGTACATATGTGTGAGGGCCCTTTTGTGTAGGACAGAGGTTGACATTGTCTTTCTCAGGAGCTTTTCACCTTATGTTTTGAGACTGGGTCTCTCATTGAACCTGGGTTTAGCATTTTTGCTGGACTGGCTTGGATTTTAGGGCCACACTTCTGTACCTGGCTTTCACATGAGAGCTGGGGATTGAACTCAGGTCCTCATGCTTGTGTGGTGAGCCATCTCCCTGGTTCTGGAGCTTTGTGTTAGTTTCTTGGGTATATAGGAATAAAATCCATTCATTATCTCCCCAGGCTGAATGAAGTAAATGTGCTTCTTAAGGTTAGGCAAGTCTGGAGATTCTGTCCAAGAACCTTAGAGTGAGATATTCTTGGGTTACTGTAGTTGGAAGTCATTTCCCCTCCTTGATTTGCCCCTTGGTGCATTCTTTTTGTTGGAAGTCATTTTTAACTCCTTGATTTGCCCATTGGTGTATTTTTTTTTTTTTCTTAAAATGGTGTAGAAGGAAAACTCTTCAAGGGCAGGAAGTAAGATTCCTATTTCCTCTTGTTTTCCTTACTGCTTCCTACTGAGAAGATAAATATGATTAATTTGACTAATTTAAAAGTAAATTGGGAGGTAGAAAATAAGACTCCAGCCGGGTGTTGGTGGCGCACGCCTTTAATCCCAGCACATAGGAGGCAGAGGCAGGCGGATCTCTGTGAGTTCGAGGCCAGCCTGGTCTTCAGAGCGAGTGCCAGGATAGGCTCCAAAGCTACACAGAGAAACCCTGGCTTAAAAAAAAAAAAAAAAAACCAAAAAAAAAAAAAAAAGAAAGAAAGAAAGAGAAGAAAAGAAGACTCTGTGGCTAAGAGCACTCACTGCTCTTGCAGAGAACCCAGATTTGTTTCCCAGCACACACATGATGGCTCGCAAACATTTGTAACTCCAGTTCCAGGCATCTGGCACCCTCTTCTGATCTCCACAGGCATCACACACACTCATGGTACACATAGACACACATAAAATGAAAAAAGAAATAAATATTTTTAAAAAGTAAATTGAGGGTTATTATTAAAGTACATGGGGGAATTTTGAAGATTTTTAAAAGATTTTATTTATTTATTATGTGTACAACATTCTGCTTCCATATATATCTGCACACCAGAAGAGGGCACCAGATCTCATTACAGATGGTTGTGAGCCACCATGTGGTTGCTGGGAATTGAACTCAGGGTCCCTGGAAGAGCAGCTCATGCTCTTAACCTCTCAGCCATCTCTTGAGCCCCAAAGATTTTATACTAAAGTCAAATACAAGACTTCATATTTGTCCTTAGGGCCTTACCCTGAAAGATGACTGTGGGAAGACTGAACTGTTGGGTGCCAAAGTGAATATTATTTCCTTTTTGGAAAATCATGTGAACAGCTGTATTAGTTGACTTTCACTTTTGTGGCTAAATGTCTGAGGAAATAAAAGGCAGGGAACAGAGCCATGTGGACCTATAGCTTCTGCACCCAAGTGTGATGAGGCAGGGCACCATGGTAGGGAGCACACAGTGAGGCAAAGTAGCACTTCCTGGTGGATGCAGGATGCAAACTGCAACAGGAAGGAGCCAGGGGCAGGATGCATCCTCAGAGTGCATCGCCAGTGAGTAACTTACCAGCGAGGCCACAGTTTTCAATCGCTCCTTCTGTATGAACTCGATGTGCTAACGGTGATGGAACCAGTGCTGGCATGGTGCAGTCACTTCTAAAGACACCCCCTACTGGGGACTCAGCCTTCAGCCTATCAGCCCCCCTGGGCTGCTCTGCAGACTACAGAAGCTGAGGCCATTTGCAGTTGGTTTTGAGGACTCTTCCCATAGATTCAAACAGTATTCCTATGGTTTTGATGTCAAAGCGTTTTATGTTGGGCTCATTTAAGAAATCCCTATTTTCTTTTCTTTTCAGGTTACTGTGGACTTCATGAGGCCATTGAAAATTGGGATTTCCAAAAAATTGAAAAGTTAGAGGAACACAGATTACTTTTACGACGTCTACAGCCAGAATTTAAGGCCAGAATTAACCCAACAGATATTCTTTCTGAAATGTCTGAATGCTTAATTAATCAGGAATGTGAAGAAATCAGACAGGTAAATTAACGCAAAGGACTAAATTTAGAGAAAAATGCTGAGACTCTTGGAAATGGTCTCTGTATTCTGTATTGTTTTTAGGCCCTCAAAGGGTAATTGAAACCCATCAAAGCCCTCATTTAGAAGACATAATGACTAGAAAAGAATTTTTAATGTGAACGGGGTCATTTTTTTATAAATTTATTTTTTACATTCCAATCCCATTTCCCCTCTCCTCCCACTTCCCCCACTCCCCTCTCCCACCATCTGCTCTACAGAGAGGGTAAGGCTTCCAAATGTGGTCATTTTTATGCTAGACTTTTGAAGTATAACCTATTTTCAGTTAAAGTTGCCCTGTTACTTTTTCTCTCAATAGTGTTTTATGTACATGCAAATCACATTGAACAGTACAACAAACGAAAAGAACATTGCTAGGCTCTTGGACATAGATACATTTATTATAGTCTCTAAATCACTGAACTAGTGATGCGATCCTGGGCAATTCATTTAGCTTCTCTAAGGATCTGGTTTTTCATGTCTAAAGTAAGAAAAATGAACCTTATTAACATGCTGGTAGGCTTAAATGAGGTAATACAGATACAGTGCTTATTGTCAGCTTGATGCATGATAATACATACACAGTACATTTTAGTTATCATTAGAAATAAAAGTCATAGAATACCCACTCTGAAAAAATCTACTGTTGTGCTGTTAGAGTCTTCATAATCGCTCTGTATGCTAATATATCCTTATTGTGAATGGTTATCATATGGGTTAGCTTTTGCCCTGGGATTGCTGATGGTAACAGATGTAAGGATTCAGATGAGAACATTTAGCTTGGCATATTGATATCGCATATAACATATAAAGGACAAAGGTGAAGGAAAGAATATCTTAAATGCTAGTGCTAGGCAGGGTAAACATGATGCTAAGACCTACTGAACTATATACTTCACAGTGATTTTGATCAGATGCTACTTGAGTAGACATTTCTTCGGTGAAAGCTGAGCTAATTGGTCAATATGCTGCATTTGTCTCACTCAGATCTGCTTCACAAAAGGCATGATGGCAGGCGCAGAGAAGATGGTTGAATGTCTTCTCAGATCTGATAAAGAGAACTGGCCCAAGGTTTTGAAATTTGCTTTGGAGAAAGAAGACAACAAGTTCAGTGAACTGTGGATTGTCGATGAAGGTGAGCTGCTTCAAGAAAGAGCCCTGGACCACGCTGTGCCCCTCACCATTCACCATGGGACTTGCCACATTCACCCAGAGATTACTTTTCATGAAAGACTCTATTCCCTTCAGATAACCAAGGCTGGGTCCTTAGGGAACAAGTACCAGGAAGCTGAGTTCTGGGAGGGAATTAGCCTACACAGCCCAAAGATTCTGGGGAAGAAAAAAAAAAAAAAGAGCTTCCAGCCCAAACTTAAGTTATCAGAGAAATAGCTTGAGAATTCCAGACCTAAAGGCTCAAATTGCCAGACTTCTCTCCCTGCCAGAGTAGAGGTTGGATATTGAGAATGATAGATGTTGATTGGTTCTCTTGCCTGGAAGCCAGCTGGAACCAACAGAGCAGGAGTGAATGAAAATTCCCTGTGATTAAGCCAATCTTATTTGGCTTCTGGAAACTCACTCTTGCTTTAAATCTGAGTATGACAAATACCTGAGTTTCTAGCTTTAGTTTTCACCTAGGTTTCTTTAGAACATAAATTCTTGTAGAACTGTCTATGTCTTTGGCGAGGGATTAGCCAGAGACAAAAGCCATGAGTGTCTCTTTTGTGTGCCTAGGAAAGAATCTCTTTCTGAGTGTGATTGACACGAGCTACCAAGAGGGGAGGGGCTCACGATGCATACTGCTCATAAGTGACACATTCCACACTTGGAGTCACATGGTTCTAAATGACACTGGCATTCAAACACCAAGTTGAACTTCAAACTAAAAATGATTCTTCCCGTTACTTTAAGAAATTAAAGGGGGACAGTGAGATGGCTCAGCAGATGAAGGCTCCTCCCTGTCATGGAACCTGAAGACCTGAGTTCAACCTCTAGGACCTACAGGATACAGAGAACCAGTTTCCAAAAATTGTCTTCTGCCCTCCATACTCTCCTTGTGTCATGAGTGACACACACAATAAATTAGCTAATAAACAAAAGAATTTAAACAAAATGTTAAGAAAGTGAAAGGGCATGGTTGTAAGCACTCAATGGAAATTTAGATTTTTAGTGTTAGGACTTTTGGGGATTTTCATAACTAAATCCACAGTCAGATTACATTAAGATTCTAAGGTTTTTTTTTTATCTCACAAAGGTTTCAAAGGGCTTGAAAGTAAAGCTGTTGAAGATGATGGAATGGAGATATCCAGCATACAGATTTTCATACAGGAGGAGCCAGAATGCCAGGTTCTCAGTCAGAATCCCTGCCTACCATCAGGTACCCGGGCCTCATTTGTTCTCAGAATCCTTGCCTGGGCATCACTTGTTCTTTTTCCATAATGGCCTTTTTTTGTTGTTATTGTTATTGTTATTGTCCCCCCCCCCCAGACGGGGTTTCTCTATGGCTTTGGAGGCTGTCCTGGAACTAGCTCTTGTAGACCAGGCTGGTCTCGAACTCCCAGAGATCCACCTGCCTCTGCCTCCTGAGTGCTGGGATTAAAGGTGTGTGCCACCAACGCCCGGCTCTTTTCCATAATGTTCTATCTCCAGCACTAAAGTCCTTTTAACGGATGATTAGGAAACAAAAGAGAATTTGTGTGACAATAGACTTCATAATTAGAATCACTGTTCCTTCCTATCTTTGTTAGCCTCAGCTGCTTTTATCTGCCTTTCACTCATGCACATGTATGTCCAAGTCTTGCTCTGATGTAGTGTTCCCAGAACTTCACTGTCTGTAACATCCCAAGCAACCTTGTTGTCTAAAAGAATACTTCTGTTTATGAGCCATTTGCTCGGTCTCCTTCCAGGATCCCAGGGCTGCCACACAAGTGGATGAGTGGGTTGTGCGCTCTCTCTGCTAGCCTCTGTGTGGAGGGTTCAAATCAACTTGTTCTCATATTCATGGTTCTGTGAAAGTTAGCTATGGCTGGACGAGGCCCCTCTCTAATGCTCCTTGAAATACATCTTCATCATGAAGAGACCAGAAGGTTGTAAGATATACAATAACGTATTTATAACAAAATGTATCAGGAAGGAAATAAGATGAATAATGAATAGTGTTAAAAGAACAACGTAATTTTTTAGAACATCATTTAAAAAAAGATGCCTTACAAATATATGAAATGAATGTCGCAAGGTTTCTGCCATTCCAGAGTGACGCAGTACTAATGTTTCAGACACACAGTGATCCATACACATCTTAAGCAAAGCTATTTTGTCTCAACCTTCTGGAAGTTCTCTTTCTTTACAGTGGGAAGATTAGACAATGAGGTGATTGCAGTCTGCTCTGTCTCTTGACCTTTTGTATGCTGACCTGTTACTGACACGACGCCTCAGATCCTAGATGGGTTGTGCTGAGCCATCTGGGATCCTGAGGAACATACAGCATGGCTCCTCCTTGCTAAAGTTGCTTGGAGAACCTGATGCCAGCAGCCTGGTTCTTTTCAGTTGTCTTTGGTGTCTGTTCTTACTTTGTTCTGAGTAACTTTGCTTTGAATTAAACCATACTTTTTTGTTTTAAGATTTTATTTGTTTATTTATTTATTTATTTATTTATTTATTTTGTATACAGCCATCTGCCTGCATGCCAACAGAAGGCACTAGATCTCATTCAAGGTGGTTGTGAGCCACCATGTGGTTGCTGGGAATTGAACTCAGGACCTCTGGAAGAACAGTCAGTGCTCTTAACCGCTGAGCCATCTCTCCAGCCCCGAATTAAACCATTCTTACTTTCCTTTTTTCTTAATCAAGTTTCTATGATTAAGAAAGAATTCACTTTGGCCGTTCCTGTATCCTTGTTATAGATACTTTATCACTGAGAGACAAGTGTGTGCTTCAAATCAAGGGGGGGGGAATGGGACAAATAATAACAAGCAAGATTCCAAATCTCCTAAATGGGGCCCTTGTTGCTAGAGACAGAACTCATGTCCACCCAACTGCAGTTAGCACACTAGCCATTTGGTAACTTTGTTCCTTCTATATTGTAGACGAATCTTGTAATAATTTGCACAGCTCATTGAAACCAAGGAATTATCAACTGGAGCTTGCTCTGCCTGCACAGAAAGGGAAAAATACCATAATATGTGCTCCTACTGGTGAGTCGGTTACCGTAACTTATAAAATTTTCTCTTTTCTTCTATTTTTGGTTACTGTGATAAAATGAAGAAGTTCAAGTTTTTTTCCCTCTTGCATTTGCCACTGGGTGAGCTGTCCTATCAATATAATGTGTCATTTTAAGGAACATGGACAATGAAAGAGAAATGCCCTCTTAGTTTGCCTTTGGTTCTTACTACTTGAGTTCATGCTACCTAGGAAGTAGCTTGATAGTTTTTAGCCATTGTTTAAACTGTTGCTGTCTTTATTTGTATCCCAGTGGTGATAGAGAAGCCAAAAATAAATACATACTAGAGAAACATCTAACATTGGTTACCTGTTCTTTTTCCTTCCATATTACAAGGTTGTGGGAAAACCTTTGTGTCACTTCTTATATGTGAACATCATCTTAGAAGCTTCCCACATGGACAAAAGGGGAAAGTGGTCTTTTTTGCTAATCAAATTCCTGTCTACGAACAGCAGGAAACTGTGTTCTCACGCCATTTTGAAAGACTTGGGTATGTATTACAATCAGTCTAACTGCTTTTTTCTTTTTTTAATTCTAGCTTTTTGTTTGTTTGTTTGTTTTTGTTTTTTGAGACAGGGTTTCTCTGTGTAGCTTTGGAGGCTGTCCTGGAACTAGCTCTTGTAAACCAGGCTGGCCTTGAACTCACAGAGATCCACCTGCCTCTGCCTCCAGAGTGCTGGGATTAAAGGTATGCTCCACCAATGCCTGGCTAATTCTACCTTTTTTTTTGCTTTGCTTTTTTTTTTTTTTTCTTTTCTGAGACAAGATTTCATGTAGCCAGAGCCATCTTCCAACTCACTGTGTAGCTGAGGTTGACCTAGAAGATATGAACTTCTTGCTTTTACATTCTAAATGCTGGGATCACTTTTATTTTATGTGCATTAGTGTTTTGCCTCATGTGTGTCTGTGTGCGAGTGTCAGATACCCTGGAACTGGAGTGACAGGTGGTTGTGAACTATAATGTGGGTGCTGGGAATTTAACCCAGGTCTTCTGAAAGAGTGACCAGTGCTCTTAACCACTGCACCATCTCTCCAGCCCCTGTTCTGTGTTTTTAAAAGCTATGATTCAAAGAAATTACTAATGACTTAGCTGTTAGAGGTAACTCTTTTGTGGAATAACTTGTTTTGTTTTGCTCCTCCCATGGATTGCTGGATAGAGTGAATGACTTGGTGGCTGAAGTTAACACTTAGATGATACACACTGGTTATTATTAATGATTTTGTATTTCATCTGACAATTCTCTTTTAAGAATTATTCATCCCCTAGTGACTTGAAGAATAACTATACCATGACCAGTTATAGCTAGCTTACATTTCCTGATTGCTGGCTTTGTGTCAGGTTTGAGTGAAAGCTCAAACTACTCCCTAATTGTACTCTTTTGGGCCTAGGGGGACCTTTATTATTTGTTGTTCTGATCTAGTGTTTCATCTTTGTTTCCTTGTTCACACTGCAGTTAGTAATATGGGATTTATGCCATTTTCCAGGTACAGCGTAGCAGGCGTTTCTGGGGCAACTACTGAAAATGTCTCAGTGCAGCACATTATTGAAAACTATGACATCATCATCCTGACACCCCAGATTCTTGTGAACAGTCTCAACAATGGAACCATCCCCTCGCTGTCAGTCTTCACTTTGATGATATTTGATGAATGCCACAACACCAGTAAAAACCATCCATACAATCAGATCATGTTCCGGTACCTAGATCACAAACTTGGACAGTCTCCAGACCCACTGCCTCAGGTATTTCCAGCCAGATGATGTCTCAGATGAGCCATAATCATCCAAATCCCATTTAGTTACTCTTGTAGCCAATTTACCATTTGAGGAGATTACCCTCCTCAGATTCTAGGTCCATCAGTTACAGCTCATTGTTTAGTTTTTATTCATTCATTTGATAAACAGTTGTCCTTGATATCCAGGGTGGATACCCTTCACAGAAACCAAAATCTAGGCTGCTTAAGTGTCTTGTATGAGATGACATTGCATTTATATATATTGTACACACTTTCCTCTACGTAGTTAAATCATCTCTGGATTACAAATATTATACCTTATAATGTAAATTTTATATATAATTTCTTATACTGTATTGCTTAGGGGATAAAGGTGGGAAAATTTATACATGTTTAGTATTTATACGGTTAAAAAATATTTTTGATCCATGGTTGTGTGAATTCAGATATGTAACATCTGGATTTGCGGGTCAACTGTATGAATCATGGATTTCCACGTACCTTTTGCAATGTTGTAGGCCCTGGGAACAGTGATCTAGAAGATATAATGCTGGCTCTCAAATGGTTGTTTTCACAGGGAGCTGGGTATATAATAGTTATGTCACAGCTTACCATGAGGTTTGCTGCAGAGATGGGTAAAGAGAACATAAGTAAGGCAAGACCGATAGAGAAGAGGGGAACTAACAGGCGTTTTCTGGGTAGATGGCTTCATGATTTTCAGTAAGAGGGTGCTGTGTGTCCAGAGGCAGCGAGGGATGAAAGAAGCTGGCATGCTCCAGAATCCTAGAACTCTACAGTATCACTTGATACCGAGTGTAGTGTGTGAGGTAAGGAACAGCTGCAGATGAGGCAGAATGGGAAGGGGGACAACTGGTAAAGTTATTAGCTATGACTAGGATGGCCCTGGAGAAATCTGGAAGGTAGAGTGTCAGTGGGTATGTCTGTGGCTTAGAAAAGGAAATGAGTAGTAACCCAACCCGTGTCTCTTGAGAAGAGTCACTTCAGAGGGTCCTTCCTAGACGGGACAAGAAGGAAGGGAATCTTGTGCACAAATTCTCCTTTCTCTGGATTGCAGGAGAGGCAGTTGGAGAGGATGATTTGAAACAGTGGATGAGAACTGAGATGGATACAATAAAGACCGATGGTATCATTCATATGAGGGGCCCAAATGGGGCTGTAAACCATTAATTGTACACAATTCTTTAGCTCCAAGAATTACTCATTTCCGAAGTACAAGTTAAAGGACATTTAGTGTAGTCCCCACAGCTTGTTCTTTTCAAGTAGTGTTGATGGCAAACAGATTTCTTATTGGTGAGTTAATCATTTAATAATTGTCGAGTTATTATGAAGTTACCTCACTGAATCTACACGTGTGGCTCTCGTTTTATTTATTTATTTATTTATTTATTTTGTTTTTTTTCGAGACAGGGTTTCTCTGTGTAGCTTTAGAGCCTATCCTGGCACTCGCTCTGGAGACCAGGCTGGCCTCGAACTCACAGAGATCCGCCTGCCTCTGCCTCCCGAGTGCTGGGATTAAAGGCATGCGCCACCAATGCCCGGCTGTGGCTCTCATTTTAAATAGCCATTTCCCCTTCACTGATTATTGAAGGAACTTGTCAAATCACACAAAATGAATGGGATGTGAGTGAGACTGGAATGGACATGCCATTCCTTTTCATTGCCATTATGATGTTTTCCTCCTTAGTAGGAGACACGGGGATAGAGGGAAGAATAGCTCTTAGCTCTGTCTGGGAAAGGTTTCCTCTCCGTTCTTACTCTGGTTAGTGTCTGTGTGAAATTTATTTAGTGCTTCACTTTGGGGGGTCTTTCTGCTGATGACATCCTGAGAGCCAGTTTTGGGGATGCTCCTTACAGGTCATTGGGCTAACTGCCTCAGTTGGTGTTGGAGATGCCAAAACTGTAGATGAAGCCATGCTACATATCTGCAAACTCTGCGCCGCCCTGCATGTGTCCGTGATTGCGACAACGTGGAAGAACTGGAGCAGGTTGTTTATAAGCCCCAGAAAAGTAAGTGGGGGCTCAGCAACACACCCCTTGGGAGTTTGTAACTCTCTATTCCTCCCATTTCAGACACAGTGGATGAACTCTGTTTGGCAAAAGCATTTTTCTGTTACGATAAATCTTTCCGCCAAAAGCTGACAGAGCCCTACAGCCACATGGGTGCTTTCCGCCAGCCACCTGAGTTCTGCCTGACAAGTTAGGGCCCCAATTAATGCACAGAGACTTATATTAGGTACAAATGCTGCTTGGCCAATGACTAGGATTCTCATCTGTTAGCTCAGTCTTAATTATAATAAATCCATATATTTTATAAGACTTATCTTATCGGATGCCTTCCATTAGCGTACAGCGTACTCACTTGCCGGTAGATCACTTGGTGACTCTAGAGGAAGAGAAGGCCCACTTCCTTCTTCCCATGTTTATGCATGAATCTCCCTGCTATGTCATTTCCTGCCTGGATCATCACTACTTTACTACATTTCCCAGAATCCTTCTTGACTCCTAGTCCTGTCTAACTTGCTGCCTCATTGGCCAGACAGTACTTTATTCAACAATCAATAAGATGAACATACACAGAAGTACATTCCCCATCACATTTCTTTTCTTTTTTTTTCTTTTTTAAATTAGTAACAAGCTTGCTTCACATGTCAATCCTAGCTCCCTCTCCCTCTCCTCCTCCCCCACCAACCCCTTCAAGACCCCACCCCATTCTCCCTCTGCTCCTCAGGGAGCATGAAGCCCTCCATGGGAGATCTCCAAAGTCTGTCATATCATCCCAGGCAGGGCCTAGGCTGATCCCATGTGCCCAGACTGAGAGAGCATCCCTTCATGTGGAATGGGCTCCCAAAGTCCATTTGTGTGCCAGGGATAAATACTGGTCTATTACCTGAGGCCCCATAGATTGCGGAGGCCTCCTCACTGACACCCATGTTCAGGGGGTCTGGATC